TGGTTATTTCACTTAATAAATGGAAATTAGCTGAAAATGTTCCTGAATAAGATGTCCAATATGGCCTGGAGGTTAGGGCACTAGACTCGCAATCTCCGGATGGTGTGTTCGAATCCCCGTCACCGAACATGCTTGCCCTTTCAGCTGTGGGAGTGTTATAATGTGACGGTCAATCCCACTATTCTTTGGTAAAAAAGTAGCTCAAGAGTTAGCGGTGGGTAATATTGACTTGTTGCTAAATTAGGGACAGAAAGTGCAGATAGCCCTCGAGTAGCTTTGCGCGAAATTCAAAACAAACCAAACAATAATTTTTCATGACTCGTTAGATTCTAATTTGCAAAAAAGATAAAAACTACTCTTTCGTGAATTTCTGCGCTGTACATACCACTTTACTAAGGCAACAAATCTCTCTTGATTAGTTATTTCGACTTCTTTGTATAGTATCAAAAATGAAAGAGGGAAACCAACTTGCCATACGTGGGTTTATGAAGCTTTTGCCATCACCATCAAACCAAGTAGTGGAGTTTATGAAGTTTATTTACTGAAACATAAGAAATTCATACCCATTATCATTGGCATACTGAACATATTTTTTTCAATAACTTTATGAATTGCTTATAAACTACTAATGCGTGTGTTTAAATTCTTATTTTATTTTATGTTTATACGCATTTATTCACTTAATAATCCAGTTTTCATTCTGTAAAAATCTTTCTTCAGTGCCGCATGATAAAAACTTTCATGCCATCATATTTATCTTCATTCATTAGCTTTTGCTTACGTTCGTTATACACTTATGAATAACAACATGATAAGGTTGCTGATATAACGCCAGTATCTTTAAATATTCTTCTTAAAAAACTCTTACATATGACTAAATAAAGCAATAGTGCCACATTTATGCGCCTGGCATTTTTAAGTTAATCTTGGATCACTCATTAGTTTTTGTTTTTATTATCATTAATGGATTCTACAAGCTAATTTTCAGAAAATCGATATCCCAGGAGCAGTGGGAATGGCTCACGAATAGTTACTTACTCATTTGCTCATGGACTAGTCTTGAGTTACTCGTAAATATTATAAGTTACTTAGGTTACACATAAGCAATGATGTGGTAATTCTGAACATTAGTGTGGTACACATGGGTGCTGTGAGTTGCTCTCAGAATACACTTGACTTGAAGGAAAAAGTTTTGACCATAGATGGAATGATAGCGAATTAATAAACTAATCAGATACAACACCAAACTACACTATTACTCTAGTCTTCTTAACTTTAAAGTTTGAAACTAAAATAATGTAATCAATAGAACTGTTGTTTCCGGAAATATTTTTTTCATTATAATAGTGGTGGCAAATTTTACTTTCAAATTTTATTCGTTTACATTAAATGCATTATTATACATAAGTATTATAACTATCAAAATTAAGTCTATCATTCTTGTTCATTTTCATAAAGGAACGTTCATAAAGGCTTTACTCTTGTATTGATATTTCACTAACCATGGGCCCGGCATGGCCAGGTGATTAGGGTGCTCAACTTGCAATTTGTGGGTCGCGGGTTCGAATCCCCGTCACACCAAACATGGCCGCCCTTTCAGCCGTAGGGACGTTATAATGTGACGGTCAATCCCACTATTCGTTGGTAAAAGAGTAGACCAAGGGTTGGCGGTGGGTGGTGATGACTAGCTGCCTTCCCTCTAGTCTTACACTGCTAAATTAGGTACGGCTAGCGCAGATAGTCCTCGTGTAACTTTGCACGAAATCCATAACAAACAAACAATCACTAACCCTAGCATGAAGTTCAAATAGCTACATCTTAAGACGACAATACTGTAGATTGTTTTGTGATGTGTTCTATATTACATAGTATCTATATGCTTATAACTAGAGCACTGACGGAAAATTGTAAAAAAAAGTCTGCCACTTTCTTTGAACGTAAACAAAATTTAATCTGTTTATAGAAATATGGTATTAAGTTAGATATAAGTATCTAAATATTGGCTTAAAGAAACGGCTAAAGTTAAATTGATTTATTAGCAGAACAAATATTGTTTAGTAAGGGTTATCTATATTGCATTTTGAAATAGTTAAGTTTTTGCTTTTTAAATATATACACAGTGGATGGAAAACCAGCACCGTCTAACAATTTTCACTTGTTTCTTGTTTTTGACAGAATTATTTGCTTGCTAATATATGATCAATTATATAGATATACATTCTGAAAGGAAATTTTATAGATATATCATTCAAATCAAGCAAATTTAGATTAATAACGTGTGCACGAGCCTAGACTGAAACAAGCCTGTTAAACCTCAATTCATGGCGTCCTTGGTGTATAAAAAAGATTAATAGAACTCCTTAGCTACTATCTCTATTTTAATGGCCCCCAGATGGCTCATCTGTAAGTTTGAGAACTTATATCTCTAAATATCGGGTTTTAATACCCGTGGTTGGCAAGGCATGAATTGTCTAACTTTGCGTTTTACAATAAACGCACGCAAATAAACAACTATTTTAATGCTTATATTTTTGTTTAGAGTTTCTCGTCATTAACCGGATATTAAACAAAGGAAACGATGAATAACACTGAGGAAAAGCCGTGTTAAGTTAGATGGCAAAAATTAGTGACATTTGCAATGAAAAACTAACATTTTGAGGTTTCAATAGCGGGATTTCATCATTTTCAATCCTCTCCAGTAACTTCTATAGAAAAATAACATGTTTCCAGCTTGGATATTCATCACTCTATTGTATAATAAATGTGAGATTTGCCTGCAATTATCCCTCATCATCGGGAAAAAGAGTGTCACTCGCATGCAAATATCCATCTGAACAGTATAAATTGGTGACATTGAAAAGGAAAATAGTTATAACTCTCTCCAGCTATTTCCAACGCATCATAAAAAAAATCTACATTGTGGCATTCATATATACGAATATACTTCTGAATAGTAAAAATATGAGACATTTGCAGAAAATAAAGTAACTTTATTGGGGGGGGCGGGGTTAAAAATTGAGTTGCATCTTTTAGAACGTTCTCCAGCTATTGTCCTTTTCAGGGTGTCATAAAACATCTGAAGAGTAACATACATATGCAATTATCCTTCAAAAGAATGAAATTTGTCAGAAAAGGAAACTTGACTTTTTAGGCAGTTTAAATGTTTAATTAAAATTTCTGAACACTCTCGAACTATTCCTAAGGCATCGTATAAAAAACGACAGGAAGAGATACATATTTACACAGTACGCACGTGGTCAAATGAATGCACTGGATAACACTTTTTCTGCAGTAATGTGTTAAGTACGTGTTTATAAAATATATAATGTCACTCAGCAAGGTTTAGAAAAATATGAAATTCGCACACCAAAACTTGCACGTGACAGGCGCATAGAAGCCATCCCCTTGTTTTTCCAAAAAAAAAAAAAGGAAAAAATCGCCCATCACGCTTCAGATACCACTGTTTGACACTAAAATAAGAAACTGTTTCTCGAACTGAATTTTTAAACATATATTCGTGCTTTTCCCAGCAAATGTCATTCATTTTCAATGTTTGCAAATGTCGCTCCTCAGATATGTTTATGACGTCGAGGGAATGAATAACTGGAGATCATCCAATATAACAAAATTAAATTATTTTAATATCATCATATCGCGAATTTTTACAATTCTGAACAATATGCGTATATAAATGTCACTCTTCAGACATTTTTATGATGTCCAGGAACTAGCTTGAGAGCGTCGAAATGATAAAATTTGACCTTTAAACCCCTGTAAATGTATCCTATTTTTATCACTTAAAAGGACATTCACATTTGCGAATGCAACGTTTCAGATATAACGGAGTGCGATATAACATTTGCCATCAATTTGCACTGTTTAGCTGGATATTTGCATGGAGGGCCTGGCATGGCCGATTGTTTAGGGCGCTCTACTCACAATCCGTGGGCTACTGAATCAAAATTCGTGGCCAAATATGTTCACCCTTTCAACCGTGAAGGACTTAAAATGTGACGGTCAATCCCACTATTCGTTGGTAAAGATTAGCCCACGAGTTGGTTTTAGGTAGTGTTGACTAGCTGCCTTCGATCTAGTCTAACACTTCAAAATTAGGAACGGCCAGTGTAGATAACCCTCGAGTGCCTTTTCGTGAAACTCAAAACAAACAAACCATTAGGAGGGACATTCAAATGTAAATGTCACAAATTTCGAATATCAGTCTAACTTCGGACTACTAAAGGAAGGTCATTACCTTCCTTTAGTGAAATGGTATATATAAAGTGTTAAAATGGGCTGGGCGTGACCTAGTGATTAGCGTGTTCAGACTATGAAACAAAGGTTCATGGTTCGCGTTACGAACTTTTGGGGCAGCGCTATAATAGTAACGGGGAATTGCCGTTATTTGGTAAGGCGATAGTAGCCTCAGAATGTGTTATATGTTTAATTTAACTGTTTCTGACTTGAAATGTCAGATCACGTTAGTGTTGATGTGGTTCAATTTAAATCTCTACTAAATAATAACTTACTTACTAAACTTTACAAAACTCGGGTAGTATATTTATTACCAAATATAGTGATTGAGTTTTATTTAGAAAATAAATTTATGCTATTCTTTTCCAGAATACGAATAAATAAATTAAACTTTCTGCATTTTACCACTCAAGACTAAGGAAACTTTGACTACAGAGTAATGGTTCCGTCGCGTTCTCAAATTTCTTCATATTAAATTATAGTTTCAACATAGAAGTTTCTAGTGGTCACTTTCGTTTGTGCAATTGTTTGTGAACACAGTAACTTGTATGTTTTGTGGAAATAAGAGCCATTGATTTAAACATTAGCTAATATTTTAATCCGTAACCAAGTTTGAACGTCAGAATCACCAAGAAAAGATTAAGAATAACATGGGAAAAAACCTTTCTTACCTTTTAATCTATTTTAACTTAAGTATTACCTCTAGATTTAAAATTAGTCAATGTATCTTTTCAAAATCCAGAAATTATAAGAATTAAGTCTGTAAAACGTTAGTATGTTAATTTTTAGCTCCCACTATGTTGTTCTAGACAAAAGATTTAATTATGTAGAGAAAATCAACTTCCTTAAAGAATGTTGCGCTGAAGTAAAGACAAATTATTGTCAAAATCACTATTAAAATAATTAATACTCAATCTGTCAGCTGCAGGATGTAACGATTCATAAAGTTTGGCTACATTCAAATAGTAAAACATTTTGAAAATGTGAAGTTTTTCATTCACTTCGGAATAAAATTGAACAGTGCATTAATTTTTGTTTTTAAATCATTTACTTTCAAACTGGAAAAATAAACGTCACTTGGGCATTTTTAAGGTAAAAATGTGCAGTCAATATTAATTTACTTACACGTCAATTACCAACCTATTTGTTTTAGGTTAAAAGATTATGTTCAATTCCATAAATATTTTAGTGACCAACGTCTGAAACCAGAAAAATTATAACATACGGTAAATGGTCATTTTGAACAGGGTATTCTGTAAAAAAAGACGTATACTTTTGTTTGGTTTCTCACAAGTAACGTTCAAGATCAAAGAAAATAATGTCATAGTTATATCTATCACTAAGTTAGTTTAGTTATCTGATCAAGCTCTTTTTGTTTAGTCTAACTCAGGAATTATTCTCAAGAAAATCGAAGCAAATTAGTAATTAATATTTTTTACTCTATCATGTAATTTAATTTTGAAATTTTGTTTTGAAAAAAGTTGTTGTTTTTTTTTATAAAATTCTTCTGAAATTCTGGATTTCAAATAACTCCAGCATAAACGAGAATAATAAAGTTTTTTCAAGTAAGTTCTAGCATAAGGCTTTATACAAGCGAATTATTGAATGAGAACTACTCAAAAGTCAAAGTGAGCTCTTGAGTCAATGGTGAAATATTCTCTATAATAGGAAATTTTTTGTCTGATTTTCTGTTTTAAAATAAGTCTAATTTAAGCCTTGGTTATTTTGAAATAAATTGCCTGTTATGACACCTGAGTGAATTAAAACATCACCAAATCATTCTGTTTGGTTGGAGAACTTGATGCACGAGTTTGTTACAACTTAATTTTTGGTATTAATGCAAAGTGTGAATCATTAACATATATTTCTTAACAAGCCTGTAAGTCATGAGTCAATACCAAAATTTTTCAAATTGAATGTCCGTTTCATAACAAAAAGTCTTCGTGCTGTAAAATGTTTCCTTGTGTTTTTGTTTTTATTTACTCTTTAACATGTTATGTAATATTTTACGATTGGTAAAATATTCTTAATCACTAAATATAGATCAGTATTGTGGCTCAATAAACTATACTGAAAAACTTTACTATAAGTTAAAACAAGAAGAAAACACGCGAAATCTACCCACTTTTGCAGTTTAATAGTTTATTTCAATCAGTCTTGTGGAACTTTACATAGGATGCAAAATTCATAAAACTTCTTGGTTCCATAAGAACATTCCTTTCTAAGTTTTACTGGTCGAAATATTCAATACAAGGATTATCATTTCCAGGCCCAACTTTTTCATATTTTGCATTAATTTTGTTACATTAATTAATTTTTATATTTATAGATTTAATATGAATTGATTGTAAATTGTAAAGGGTTTATATTATTTTTCACAATAGCCAATATTTAAAGTTAGACGTTTATCGAGTGTCAATACTTTAGACTGAATTATTGTGGTATTTTTATAATTTCTGTGTATATTTGTATGTATTTTGAGCACTGAAATGTGTTAGTTCTTACCTTAGTCTGCACTATCTGGTAGAATTATTGTTAATATCTGTTTTTAAATATGTATATATTTTTAGCGTTCACATTTCAATTTTAAATAAAATGTTTATCGATGTATTCTTTGTTGACTTGTCATTGATTTTCAGGTTAAAGCGTGTAATTTCTGTGTGTATTTGTATGTATTTTGAGCACTGAAATGTGTTAGTTCTTACCTTAGTCTGCACTATCTGGTAGAATAATTGTTAATATCTGTTTTTAAATATGTATATATTTTTAGCGTTCACATTTCAATTTTAAATAAAATGTTTATCGATGTATTCTTTGTTGACTTGTCATTGATTTTCAGGTTAAAGCGTGTAATTCAATTGGATGTGGAGACTGGTCAAATTTAGTTGAAGAAGAGACCTTTGACGGAAGTAAGTTTCATTAGTTCACAAAATAAACCTTAAGAATGAAAACCAAGTATAATACTCAGATGTCCATTTTCAATAATTACAGTTTGTGATATTTAGTATTGGCATTGTATTTTAAAGAGGCCTTCTTAGAATTTTAGGGTATCTAGTCTATTGCATAGGGAGTAGCGAAGAAAGAATAGATTAGTCCTAAATATCATTCGTGGGTTCTTTATTTTATTCATTGATGTTACACATTTTAGCGAGGATTGGTTGGTTTGTTATGAATTTCGCGCAAAGCTACACGTCCCTAATTTAGTAGAGGGAAGGCAGCTAGTCATCACCACCCACCTCTTGGGCTACTCTTTTACAAACGAATAGCGGGATTGACCGTCACTATGTAATGCCCTCACGGCTGAAAGGACGAGCATGTTTAGTGGGACAGGGATTCGAACCCGCGACCCGCAGATTGCGAGTCGAACGCCCTAACCACATGGCCATGATTTAGCTAGGAAGAGAATTGTTCATAATTAATAAATAATGCTGTTTAATTGTATTGCTTTTTCACTTCAATAAACTAAAATGATGTACAGTTTCAGTTTCGCAAAACGCGATTCAGCTTGCGTTTGTGAAAAAAAAAACTCGGTCTCTTAGCAGTTTTCAAAATACAAAGCAAATAAATTTCAAAAAATTTTGTGAAATACATTTTCAAAATAGTTTGTTTCTTATATTTATCACGAATAGTAACATCTACGTTGAATATATATATATATTGACTGAGAAGAAGGGCGTAGAAAGTTCAAAAGGAAAAAACTCAAAACCGATGCTTTGCTTCAGGTGACGTGATAATGCTCTCATCATTTTGAAAAACTTCTCAATAGCTCTTTGTACTTGAAAGAGATTATAGAAAACAAGTTTACCTTGAAAATTCAAAGAATGTATTTACGGTAGTCAAAAAATGTCAAAACGATGGCTAGGTTCAGAAACAGAAAGGAAATCCTGAAGGCTTTAGTATAAAAGGAATTCTTACTTTCTTGTGTCACTATAAGTGGCATTTGTTGCCAGGAGCAGTCGAAACTAAAACCGAAAGTATAATAACATGATATTACTTCTATCCTTTATTTTCATTTCATTGAAGTGTTTATTCTGTTTTGGATTTTATCAAACCGTCATTTTTTAGAGGGCTTACTAATCTCTATCAACGACATAGAGATATAGCAATTGTAACTAAGTATTGTTTGTTTATATTTATGCACAAAGCTACACAATGGGCTATTTGTGCTCTGCCAACCACGGGTATCGAAACCCGGTTTCTAGCATTGTTACTAAGTAGAACGTGCATGCTAGTTACATTACTTGTTCCTGAAAGATTCATATACACATGATGTCTACATCTCTTCTAACTTAAAGATGTATACATACATAGGTAGTAAGTAAAAACATAGATACATTGTTTACATCTCTTGTAAATGAAAAATAAATTCATTATGTCTACATAATTTGCAAGTGAGAAGTATGTATGTTTCTTTTATATAATGTAATAACATTTTTTTATATATTTTGTACTTCTAAAAACCCGTGAGTGAAAACACAGAAAAATATGGTATAATGTATCAGCTACATTACATGTACTATATATATATATTGCCGACGAGATCTTTTCGCCAAATACCAGAGATCATCAGGCTGGCTGGAATATGACAGCTATAGTTATGGTCTAGACGCTATATATATCATCAGTTTTAATGATCAGCAACTTTTAGAATGTGAATCAGGCTATGCAAATAAATTATTGTGTTTACTCGGTCAGTGCTCTTTGAAAGACTAGGATTAGGCCTGGCATGGCTAGGTGGCTAGAGGGCTTGACTCGCAATCTGCAGGTCGAGGGTTCAAATCCCCGTTCCCCCAAACATGCTCGCCCTTTCAGTCGTGGAGCAGTTATAACTCACTATTCGTTGGTAAAAGAGTATCCCAAAAGTTGACGATGGGTGGTTATGACTAGCTGCCTTCCCTTTATTCTTTCACTACTAAATTAGGGACGGCTAATGCAGATAGCCCTCGTGTAGCTTTGCGCGAAACTCAAAACAAACCAACACTAGGGTTAAATTTTGAACACTTATTCTAAGTTATTATGAAAACTTTAACGATGGCTTTCCTTAATATATCTTGTACAGTGGCAGACCCTCCAGAGAAAGTTCAAGTGAAATGTGGTTTCGATTCTAAGAACAAACAAAACTACATCAATGTGACTTGGGAGCCGCCATTAAAGGCCAGGGGAACAATTGAATCTTATAATGTAAGTAATCCTAACTTATTAAGATTTATGCATATAATATTAGTGTTTGTTTAATCTTTTCGCATTGCCTCCAAGGAAAAATTAAAACATAAGACGGTGTAGCTAGATAGCTTCGCAAAGATTGCAACTTATCACGTGTACTGTACTAGAAAAGGAACAATTTGGAATAGTGAAAATTTTTGTGGATATATGATTATTTTATATTACACTGTATGTAAATAGTTTAAATATAATATATACAAATGCTAACATTAAAAGAAAAGTTTTATTTTACGGCCAGTTTGAAATCATAACTCAATACTTCTGAAAGCACACTTTTGGCTATAAAGGCTTTGTTTGTATATAGTCAATACATTGCGTATTTTTAGTTTTACTTAAATGTTTTATCACACAATGTATTAAAATAAAGATTGATACTTTGCCAAGTTTGACATTATAAACTATCCGTAAGTTGTGTTCACAAATTTACTAACATAAATAAAGAATTTTGTTACCAGAACTGTTCGACAATCTGTACAGCATATGGTTTATTTTTGCGCTTATTTGCTTAGGAAACATGATTTAGAAGTTACTTACAAATTAACCCTCTCGCAATGTCCATTAACCATTTCTAAAGCAGTAATCTGGGAAATCTGAAACATACTTAGAATTATAAGTCATTTCTGGTATATGTTAAAAGGGATGGATTTCAAAGAAGCAGTTAATAAATAATATGGCATACTGTAAATTTTAATGAACAACGATTTACGAGTAATCAACCAAATAGTGGCTGTTTAAAAACATACACTTATGTTTGTAGTTTGGAATGTCGTTCAAATGGTTCTTGGTGATCAAGCTATAGACTAATACTTGTCATAAACTGAAGGAAGAAAAAAATTAACGGTAAAATTGTACTTCCAAACATCAAACGCCATATATTAAAAAATATGGATGGAATAGAGCCGAAAATGTGCCTTCTGCTCTATCTCTGCCGTACTCAATACGTTAGATATGTGAAGTTACATTTGCTTGCATTGTAACTCAGTAACGATGGTTATAACTGTACTATGCCCACCATAGGTTTCAAAGCCCGGTTTTTAGCGTTACAAGTCCACACACTTATCGCAGTGTCACTGTGCGCTTTATTTTTTAATGAATAATTTTGGTACACCATACATATTGATGTTTCATCTGTTCTCCGTTACGTGATTTAGTCGTTAACGAGCCGCAATACCACTAAATATGTTCCACAATTTCATTTTGGGGTGTTTTATGAGAGTGACAGTCAGTTCCATTATTCTGACAAATCCCTTGTGCCGGCAGGTGCTACTGATTGGCTGCTTTCTCTCTTTGCTTAAGTAATTCAGTTCAGTACAGTTATGGTTAACCCACGTGAGTCTGATCTGGATGTCTTAGCCTATGTGTGTATAAGGTGCCGTTCAGGTTGAAAACATCAATAGCAAGTTCTTACAAGTCTGCCTCCTAGGAATAATAAATATACCGTTTCAAAGCACTATTAATATAGCTATGCTTGTTGATAACACCTTGTTTTTGAAACTAGTATTATTAATTTATTACAGCAAACTGTAAAACAAAATGTAAAGCCTGGTTTAGCCGTAAGTAATGAAGGATGAAATGACATGAATAACTAAATAATGAAACCCTTCTCGTGTGGTTTTGACCATAGTGATTATTCAGTTAAATAACTGAATATTTATAATAAAGTACAATAGTTAATCCAACGCAAACGGACGCAGTATTTACGTTTTATTTTTAGGGTTAGAATTTAAGATATATATAGTAGGAGGAATTTAATATTATTAAGACAACTATTTCCTGCCAGGCCATTAATAAGCAAACGTGAGCTGGAAAACTTATTAGAGATAAATTAAGATGGCTAACACAAATCGCTTTTGTCATCTAATTAATAAACAAACGTGAGCACGAACATTTGGAAGCTTAATCTGCCAATACAAATATAAAAAAATATATATCCTGAGTGAACTTTTATGCATGTAAATACTCCTTATGACATAATTACTTCTGGTCTTTAAACTTTATACGTTGTGCACGATCTAAATGCTTACTTATATTTATATAACACGCGATATAATGTTCTATATACGACCTCTAGTTTTTGGAGGATTTCTACTGGTCTCCCAATAGAGATATCTGTAGATGAAGAGCCTCTTCGGACAAGCACTAGTAACTTATCTCTGCAGTACAAGGTTGAGTACGTCATATTAAAACGATTTTGAAGTCACATATGAAGAACAACCGATATAAAACTGCGGTGAAACAGAATGTATTAGAACTACATTCTGATATTATTTGGTATTTCGAAGATAGTGTCTAAAGGCTGTAATCTCAGACTTTTTTGTTTTTGATTTTTTTTAGTCCTGCGATTGTGAAGTTTTAATGATTTAAGTTCCGGGATCCCTGTCGGGGTTCTAAATATTTATCTATTTACGTTTATGTTGTCTTAATCCACATTCTTTATCCAACTTAAATAATGCGAACAGAGTAGATTGGTAAAACTTTAAGCATTTGCACGTATAACTGTTATTATGCCTTACGAACACTTGAGTTGGTTTCCCTTTTGTATGCGAGTCACCATCATCAGGCAAGAAGAGTCGTTCAGTTTTGTTCGTGTTTAAACTCAAAGCTACACAATGGGATATCTGCGCTTTATCCGCCACGGATATCGAAACCCGATTTTTAGCATTATGCCATAATACTTACTGCTGAGCCACTGGAGGGCCAGATCGTTCAGTTTCTAGAGTTTGATCGAGTAGAGGCGGATTTTTATTACCTTTTAATGAAGTTTAATCAATAAACCGCATTGTTCAAAAACCTTCTTAAATGCGATCACGTCAGCAAAAATTACAGGAGTCTAAAACAATTTTGAATCAGTTTGCATCAAATAAAGAACGTAAAAAACACATTCAGTGAATTTCTTTGTAAATAAATTGTAGGCTAGTGTATCGACTGTGTCTCAAAACCTAAAAGAATGATAGAAATACTAAATTCAATTACACGGTTTTTAAGCCAAAATTAGATATATATTTAGTAAGTTTGTCCGAAGTTTCATGCAGTTTAATTAAATATCGTGAGAAGAAATCATTAACATTCCTCCGGCTAGGAAAGGATTAATCAATACAATCCCAAAAATCCCGAAATTCGGGAAGCTCATTAGCATACGGGACCCTGGGATCGACATTCCTGAGATTGCAGCATCTGGTAGTGTGATACCATTGATACTTGATCGCTTTTAAGAAGTATATGTACAGTCCTTTCCAATGCAAAAAATTCATACACTCAGATCATGAAGATGTGTTCAGACCAAGGATGTAAAATTTCGAAGACAGGGATATCCTTTGTTCTTAATAGTTTCGGAAACCAAAAAAAAATTTATGAACTTGAAGTACCAGGATCATCCAGAAAGAGATGATCCTGGTAAGCAGGCAAGCAAAGTGCTGAGTCTTGTGACAGGCGAGAAAATCCACGAACACAAAGAAACATTGAAAAGCTGTCCTCGTGCCTTAGGTAACAGTATGTAACATCTTTGTCTGGAAAAATGACACAAGTCACGAGTACACAAGATGCTTCTACGACATATTGGTTCAACCACCGCATACCTCAAGTGGCTTGAGCTTGAAATGGGTATTCATGCTATTCCATACGAAAGCATACTGGTCAAGTCGTCGGACTATGGATTTTTATGCGATCTTTCTCACACACTAGGTGTATTATGGAAAGCATCACGGAAGCAATGTGCTATAGACATGACATTCTTACGAGGGAACCGTTTGGAATGGAAACTTCCATGCAAGGCTGTTGTCAAGATTGAGCATGACCGGATATGGTGACATGGACTGTAACGACGTGGTGCGGCTCCAAAATCGTTTTAATATAAAGTACTCAACCTCTGTACAATTTAGTAAATTCAGTAAGCATTAAAGCTGAGATTTATGATAACGTTCTTTCGAACTATTGCATTGTATTATGTTCAGCCTTCACTTTAGGGCGCTCAAACAGAAACAGTATTGTTTGTTTGTAATTAAGCACAAAGCTACGCAATGGGCTATCTGTGCTCTGCCCACCACGGGTATCGAAACCCGGATTCTAGCGTTGTAAGTCCGCAGACATACCGCTGTGCTACTGGGGGGAGGGGCAAACAGAAACAAAGCATAATTAAAATTCTTCAGATTATTGGCTACTTACAGATACGCTTATAACTCCCTGTTCTAAGGTAATTCTCATGTGACATTACATTAAAACTATTTTGATACTTAAGAAAACGGTTTAAGCATAGATCCAAGATAGTCCATAAAAAATTTTAAATTATTTATCAAACACCACGTTAAAATAAAAATACACATGCTTTTCATATTTTCTTATGGTTTGGATACTGAATATTTTTTCTTTTGCTATCTAATTCTTTTTAAGGTTACTATGGCAGGCGAGGCTCGTTATAAAAACTCTAACGGGAAAATCGCTGTCGATCGATTCAAGGCAATGCACAAAGTGAAACCTGACATGTTGGAATTCAGGAGCACAGTGAAGCCTAACACTAACTATACCGTCCGTATGTGCACAAACAACCGATCTGGATGTGGTCCACTTAGCTTCCCAACCAAGCTGTCCTCGTGCTCCACGTTCCCTGTCGGTAGGACTTGTTATTAATTTTTTCATAAAATTTATGTCCTTATTTTTATTGAAGATATTACTATTTTTTGGTCTAAGTTCTCTCGGGAATTGATAGTTTCAATTATTATGAGATTTCTAATAATGGTTACTATTAGTTCTTAAATCAATACCCTCAAAATAATCCTGCTCGAACATTATGAATTAAACGAGTTGGAATATATACTGATCATTTTAATGACCTTCCCACTAACGGTCAGATTTACCAGTGGTAAAAATGCATATACCAATTTAATTTTGCTGTCAGGGTACTACAGAAGCTTTCAGTGTTGGCCTCGGACGAATCCTTTTTTTTTACTGTTTTTTTAGTGAATAAAATATGAAAAGGTATAGAGTATAAAGAAGGACTTGGAGGGTCACTGTGAGTTTTTAGATGGATAGATTGAATGATAGAGGTATTATAGTGTAGCTTCCGATATAGGAAATGTGGAATTTGAGCAGGGAAGGGCAGAAAAACTGTTAGGAATAGATAAATACTGCGCGACATAAGTTTTTTTACCTTTGAGGTCAAATACTTTATTTCTCTCAGCATTATTCCACTCTTCCTCTTCAAAGTTACCCCTTCCATATCGTATTTCTATTTCTAACAGTTTTTCTGCCCTTCCCTGTCTAAATTCTACATTTCCTCCTATTTCGGAAGCTACCAACGTCTCACATTATAATACCTTCCCCATTCAATATCTCTATCTAAAAACTCATTCAGTCTCTCTCGGTGACTCTCCAAGTTCTTCTTTAGGTTCTGGTAGCTGACTGAACACAAAGCACACTTTCCCAAAAACACACATTCCACAAATAGCAACATTAATTTTTCTTAAGGTGTAAAATTTTGTCTTCATTAAGAATGGAATGCATATAACTGCATAGTTTGTCAATATTAAACAAACGTTACTCAATATCTTCGGTACATTCTGAAATAGCACAATTTTCCCCATTCAAAATATAACTATATAGTTGTAGGTTGTCTGTTTGTTTTGAATTTAAACATTTGAATTGTTGTTTGCAAGAGGGAGTTTTAACGTCATATGGTGGGCATGGCTCAATGACGGGAACCTTGAAAGTGTATGAAATCATTTCAGTAGTATAAAATGCGAGTTATGCTACAATGTCTATTAATTCAATTTGGAAATATTGAGTTTGTGATTAAACGAATAAAACAGAGATACGAGAAAGTTCTATACGTATCAGAGCTGCTAGAAAGTAAGTGAAATTGTTATATTAGCGAACATTAGTTAAACTAGCTTGCATAACATTAAAAACAACTTATAAGCTTAGCTAACTTGGTTTATTTGAGACCTCAGTCTGTGGATGACCAAGCTATCTTTTATGTGAGGCTTTGTTCATCCATAGCCTTTGCTACATTCAAATCAGTAAAGACCAACGATGAACAAACTCTTCGCATGAAAGATAGCGTGCTCATTTACAGACTAAGGCCTCAAATAAACCAAGTTAGTTCAGCTTATAAGTTATTTTTAATTGACAAAAAAAATTTTTGATTTTTATGAGTTCATTTTCAGTTCCTACAGAATTACCCCAATTTCGGCTCCAACATATGAGAGAGAGCCGTCATGAGAGACATCTCGTGTTGAAATTGCAGCGAGTCTCAGAAAGGAACGGGTCAATCAGGTGAGTGAAATGAAAATATTAAACGAATTTGGTATAGAAAATATTATTGAAAAAATTAACTTTGAGCAATATTTCAAAACCAATAATTACAACCAACTTTAAATGTTTCTGTCATCATTTAAACATCCGTAATGCTACAACCTTCAATGATACTGTCATTTATATAAATATATGCACTCACCTATTTAAAAAAACAACTAAATACAGTACTACTACTAAAACATACTGTCACTTTCACATTAATTGAGCCCCCAGTGGCACAGCAGTATGTCTACGGACTTACAACGCTAGAAACTGGGTTCGATACCAATGGTGGGCAGAGCACAGCTAGCCCCTTGTGTAGCTTTAGTGCTTAATTACAAACAAACACATTAATTGATTTTGTATCTGAATGAGATTACTTACGTTGATTGTTAACTTAGTATTGTATGTTATTTTCGTATGTGTTTGGCACATGATGCTCAAATTATTTTAGAAACCACTATGTTAAGCGGGTTTCTAAAAGTCACTGTAGGTAAAGTATTAGCAGTTGTTAAGTGTACTACTTATAAAAATGTATAGGTTACTGTAAGTTGAAACTTAGACTACTTTTAAAATACTAGAAATTCACGTCAGGGTCTTCACGCGTTACCAACAATAAAAGTAACAGTTCCTAAGGTAATATTACTTTGAAGCACAAATAACAAGAAACAGTTGTTTTCGGAAACTTAATGGTAAAGAAAATAGAATAGACTCATTAGTGGTGAAGTTTAAAAAGATATTTTAATGATATTCGAAGTGAAACAATTTGAAAAACCATTGGAAGTTCCTAATAAAGTACATCTTTTCTAGAAAATACGTAGAATAAACGAAATTCGATCACCTGAGGTGAATTCACCACTTAAAAAACTCTTGAGTTATCGAGTTTCAAATGCTGTAATTTATCCAAATCTGATCCTATACTATAAAACTTTCTTCGTCTTAAATAACAATTTGAAAGGAAAAAATAAAAACAAAGTAATACGTTTTACGATAACATTATTCACAATACACTAGAATAGATAAAGATAAAAGTGCGTTGATATTTATCACATACCCTTGTTACATGTTCTGTAATGTAAGAAATGAATTTAATTTGGTTTCATCTGGAGATACAATGGTTCAATCTACATAAATACACATCTTTAATACACTAAATTCACCTCTTATATCATATTCACACTGCTATGTCGTTTTTTCTCCCTATACTCAAATACATTTCTTGAAACTTCACCAGGTATTACAACCCCTCTTCAACACATGTTTAGGTATTTTGATATGTTGTGACGTACAGTATAAAAATGTTTTTCTGTTAAAAGCTAGTTCGAACGTTAAAAACTGAGGATTTGGCATTATAGTAAATTATGGGAAAATTCTGAACTTTTGGTTTAATTTTGTTCTTTTTTTCTGGCTACTAAATTCTTTTTCTTTTTCGGAAATAATACTTTACAGGTAAGAAGTCAAAATATTCAAATGAGATCATAATCTACTTGAAATTTTATTATATTTACATTATTCTTTTTTTATAACTAGTGCGATAAAGCTTCCTAAACGTTAGAAGAAATACATTATACGTAATAGAGACTAATTTGAGAAGTGGTGATCTCTCTATCCACTCAACTGCATTTGTGTACGTTTTTCGGTTGTAATCTGATATGGTTGATCTACGGAACATTGGTTTGGCTTTCGCGCAAAGCTGCTCGAGGGCTATCTGCGCTAGTCATCCCTAATTTAACAGGATAAACTAGAGGAAAACAGCTAATCAATACCACTCACCATCAACTCTTGGGCTACTCTTTTACCAACGAATAAAGGGATTGACCGTAACATTATAACGCCACCATGGCTGAAAAGACGAGCATGTTTAGTAAAGAGGATTCGAACCCGCGACTCGCAGATTGTGAGTCGAGTGCCCTAACCACCAGGACATGCCAGGTCCACTACAGGAAATAAAATATAGTGTGTCTTACTGTGGTTAGTGTGCCTGAATTCGACTCCGATGATTGATGGTTTCTGTCTCAATGCCACAAAAACGCGATCTGCATTTTGAAGTCTTCAATGCATTATAAGTTATAGGGGAAATAATATATTATACGATTTAGTCAGACAAAATTAGCGCAGAAGTTGGCGATGAATTCTTTTGGCTAGCTGCCTTTCCACTAGTCTATAAGTTCAAAACTGGGGACGACTATACACAGATAGCCTTTGAGTAGCTTTGCACGAAAATCCAAAAATAAACAACGAGCCTTAGATGAGTTCGTGGAGGAATTATACCATGCATATATATATCCTACAAATAGTGTAATGTTCATACTTAAAAAACAAAAACAAGTATTAAATAGAGATGAAGGACCAGCAATTCAATAAATTGATGTATGGCGAGATACATCATAATTTTTTGTATGGAAATATGTAAATAACAATGAAGTAATGCGACAAGGGGAAAGTATATAATAGTCTTGTAAGTTACTCCTGAGGATGACGTAGATCACGTTGAAACACGTACTTGTAGAGAGATATTTTAAAGTGGAAGCCGTACGGCTTCAATAAAGTTTTTATTGTGTAAATATAAAACGCTGTTTTTAATTATTTATTACAAAATTGTAATTTTGATTTTAAATTTAAATTACTAATTGTATAAACGCATGCTTATTCACAAACCAGTTTTAATGAACACCTTAACTGCATACTTCATATGTCATTAATTTCTACTAAAGTATTTATGTATTGAAAAGCTTAGAGGAATTAAATTGGAAAATTCAAATTAACTTATAACAGTAGCAGAATTTGTAAGATATTTATTTTATCAATTGGGAAAGAGTAGTTTTGTGTTTCGTTTATTTATTTTATTTTTATTGGGAAGCTAGACAAGGGAGACTTACTCTGAAACTTTAAATTCCGTGACATATATATATATGAATTATTTACTATGTTCTGTAATTTTGTACGTCATTTTTAAAAAGTTTTTAACTCTGAAAAGCAAATTATCAAACAAAGTTTGAGATTCTAAACAAGTCTAATTTAAGTAGGTTTAATTTTTGCAATTTAAGAACGTCATGAAATCCCTATTATAACATTCTTTTGGAAGCATGAGGATCTCCGTTTGATGCAGTAAGGGTCAGTGTGATTTGTTCTATTCAGAGTTCGTAAAAATATATTTTCCGTGGTTTCCCATGAGAGCAACATATCCATGAGTTAAGGTGTATTTCATCCTCACGCAACGTTACTTGTAACTCAGTTTTTGTGTCCCTGATCCGCTTGTGGTCGTGCAAGTACTTTCGTGTACCAAAAGGTTAAAACAAAATTAACAAATTCCTTGGAATTTATTCCTGAACAATCTTACGGTGGAAAAAAATCCACTTTCAGATATAGTGCATTATATTAGCTAAATTTGTCAGTCTCTTTTCTAATAAACATCTATATATTTTCAATAAGCTTCGTGAATGAACTGCTGAGCATCACGTTTTCGTTCAGTAAAGATTGAAAATTATTTCAACTGTTGCTATGTTCCGAATCGGGGTGATTTAATTCATACACTCATGTATACTGTTGATTACCTATCTTGATAACGTATTTTAACAGCAAGCTGCAAATATTATAGAAATAAATACATACAAAAATGATTTACATACAATAGATAATACAAGAAAAGAACTCGAATAAATTTCCATATACGAAAGAGGGCCAAGCGTGTTAGACTTTGAATCTAAGGCTCTAAAAAAATAGTGATTAACACTTTGAGGCCATGGGTGCGTTGTAAGAGTAGCCCAAGAGCTGTTGGTGGGTGGTGTTGACTATCTTCCTTCCCTCTAATTTATCACTTCAAAATTAGGGACGGTTAGCTCAAATAATCCTTGTGTAGCTTTGTACGAAATTCAATAAACAAACATATAAGAATGAGTCGCCCTCTTTTGACTTAAGCATGCTATATTCGAAGTTATCGCCCGTAGGTTTTACATCAATAATTTCTAACTTAAATAGTTTTTTACATTTTCCGAATAGACAAACATGAAACCCATTAATAGGCCTCGCTAGTTCTTCATAGATTAATAAAGAAAAAAAGTTAATTGAAACAATAATTCTAAAGGGTTAATTTAGCAGCTAACTGATTTTGAATCTTGTACTTTGTTATTTCTCATTTTATATACTGTAAGTTTTTACAGTAGTTCAATGTTCTCTGTTATATATATTTTCCAAACGTTTTATATATATTTTCTAACATACAGTGTTTTTAGTGTGTGTGTGTGAGAGGTGACATACCTTGCAATTCTAAAAGTAGTCTTGTATTTCCACATGCACACAAACACACGGGAATTAGTTTCAAATTTTACAGAACATAACTTTCTATGATTTTTCAAAACATACCCATTCCTGTCGCTCATCTACCCATTCGAAAAGTTTAAGACTAATAGTGTTTGATGCATAAATTTGTAAAACATATACATCCATGTACGAACATTTTCATAATTAAGTTGAATTTATTATTGCATATTAAACAAGTCCTTATATAGAACATTAGACTTTCATTTATTGGCAGCGGTATAGTTAACACTGTTGGAAACTTTCAACTGAAATAGCATTCATTTATAGGTTGTATGATGCTTGTATATTTTGGTTGTGAGCAAATCACAGTCATTAAATTTGTTGTTGTTTTTTTTTCATTTGGATTCCGCAATTCCCAAAAATAACTAAACAACTTCATAAAGATATCGAGGTGTTCCTGAATTAATGTTTACTAGTTTTATCAAGTAGGAGATTTATCAACTTGATATGCGATTTATGTACAAAAAGTTGAAGACCACTTCTTGGGCATAAATATGACAATATTAAGACACTGGCACAAAATATTATCTCTCATTCTGCTAGAAATCAAATCTCTCACATCCTTTAATCGTTTCTTAAAATGGGTATATGATATTAAAAATACATTTTATACAAGCTGTAAGTAGTTCAAATAAAAAAAGATAGTACAGCGTAAAGTT